GTGGAATTCACTGAAAATCGAGAAAATATATGGAACTACTTTCTCAATGCGCGGAGCATAAACAAGGAGCGGAGGGATACGGACCGGTGACTACTTTCTTGGGAACCTATTTGTTGCCAGCTGATTAGAAACAGCCAATGTTAGAAACCAGGATTTAAAAAGCGATATATCGAACCGCATCGAAATCGATATTTCATCCTATAATACCGATGATAATACCTCACAGGTTATATTATGTTGAATTACATCGACGGTGCAGTAAGTTATTACACTTATTAATAAAACGCAGATTGAACACTGATCTAATTTAGGCCTGTGGGGAAGGTAGGTCGGGGTTTATGAGTATTCGTGACTACATTAAGTGTTTTGAAGTAAGGTTAGATTAGGAAGGTAAAGTGTAGGTTATAGGTAGGTGATCGGGTTGTTTACCTATTTGTGTTGCACCATATAATTTTTATCTTTTGGAATAGTTGGTTAAACGGAGAAACTATTTCAAAAATGCTTGCATATGGTCTTAACAAACCATCTACAGTATTCTAGCATTGACTTTATATAAAGTCAATGATTCTAGCAAATTACTACATAAAAACCAAATGAAAAGATCATTTGGATATGGACCTTTGACCATAGCAAAACTAACATATAATTTATGAAATGTGAAAATTTGTATATCATTAAATACTATTCTGTAATATTAATAATTGTTCGGCAAATCCTCATTTTAATGGCTCGGCTGAAAATGGAATCTGCATTTTGTGAAACAGTAATTTGGTAACAATTCAGTAATTTCAAATATTAATAACAGTAGCCTATCCTATATAAATACTGTTATTTGATTGCCAAGCCACGGACTATACATACGTCCAGTTACAACCGTAATAAGTAAACCTGGGCTTATAGAAGTACACTTTTAACCACGGTATGGATAATTGTCTTCCACCATGGATAATTGTCTGGGCCTGTCCAGAAGTAGGCTACTAATTTCTAATTATATTATCTACATTGTATATTTAAGGCATGTCTTCCCTACTTATTATTATTCTGTTTTCACTTAAATCAGCTGAATGTGATGTTTTCTTATTACTTATGTTTAGGCCTACATTTCAGCCATCTTATTTTATTTTTCAATATGTAAGTCTTTTTGCAGTTTTTACACATTGAAATACATGACTGATAATTCAGTTCATTTTGGTCTTTTAAAGGTGTTTTACATTTGAGTCTTACATTAAAATAGCCCTACTCCTACATTTTTCGTAGGCCTATGTTTTATCTTTGACTATCAATACAACTAGACATTCCATCCCCATGTTAAATTTGTAGCCAGCTTTTTCATCAAAATCTTCTGTATCCAATAGCCAATGGTATTATTAAGGCCAGTATTAAAATGCCATCGCTAAATCGTCCTAATAATGGCAGAAGACCTACATTCTAGTTACATTACAATCATATCCTCCATCAAGAATACTTGGTATTAACAATCATAAATTATTTCCAGCAAAGAAAGCTGAGTTTAACTGATTGCAAGGGTTGAAATGAAGACCAATGTTTATGTTGCACATTTGAATTTAAATGTCAAATTTCCTCTCCTGTTGTTATACAATACTCGTTTTTTAATTATTACTGTTTTTTTTTATACTTAAATACTTTAACAGATTTTAAGGGTGAAAAATCAAGTCCAATGTTTTTGTTGTAGGCTACAGTTGAATTTGAATGTTAAATTTCCTTTCTTTTTTTATACTTTAATGCCCTTTTTGGATGTTTATATCAGATTCCATTTACTGTAATATTTTCCTGGCCAAAACTACCATAATGCACTTCTGGAAGAGGTAAATTTGAATTATTATAATTGTAATCAATAAAACCAGCATTTAGTACATCTATTGACTTTTTTACATTTAGTTACTTATACAAATATCAAATCACGTTTGTTCCACTCAACTGGCTTTCACCTCTCTGAAAGCAACCCTAGTAATAATTTTAAATTTTTGGATGAAACTACAATCATTTTCCGCAGCAAAATTGTTGGCCAGTTTTGACATTGTGTCTGACCGTGGTTTAGCTCCTGCATTTGTAACAAAATTTGACAAAATTACCACTTTCATGCTCATTATTATTTGACAGAATCATTTAACAACAATAGGTTAATATCTAATCCAATAAAAAAAATAAACTTTTGAAAATTAATTTTTACAAAACAGTTATAAGAACTAATGTAATTTTAGCTATTCTAATATCGCATAGTTCCTGAAACCTGAAAATGCATTCAATTTGAGAGGTTTGGTAAACTAGTCTTTAGGTGTGATTCATTTATCTTATATAGGGCCTACTTATTTAACAAATTTGGTTTTTCTTTTCTGAGTTCATTTGGCTCTTCTACCTGACCGATTTTCATGATTGAGGTCTCAAATTGAAGGTATGCACGCACAGATTTCACATCAAGCATCAGCATATATTTATCCCCTGTATTACTGGACCAAAATAACATAAATATGATTTATTTTCAAATTCTTACTTCAATTTAAGACGTACTTCACCAGTTATAAGTCATACTAGTGTACATGTTGCTCGAATTCGAGCAATTGCAAAGAATTACAGGGGTTATTTCAAAAGAATAACAGTCATATTTACAATAAGTTTAAGAGAGTCAACTCAAAGATTACCATTGTGTAACTCATGGAGATACTCACGATGTATATAACAGTAATCAACATTTCCTGTAAATATTGTATCATATTTCATAACCTGGTATTGCTTTTTAATGTTTTCTTCAAACATTGACTTACAGCGTATAAGGTTGTCCATGTTTATCTTCGTTATTGATAAACCTGAAGCGTTCCGGTCGGTTTTCTTCTTCTCAAAATACCTCGCTGTACAGCCAACACAGGTCATTGATAGAGGACCAATTGAGAACGAAAAGTCGTTATGGGGTAGTGTTAGGGCGCATTTGTAACCTAATAGTTGAGATTGTCCAAGGTCAGGTGCTGACTGTGATGAGTTAAGCCTATTACGCGCCAATGTACTGTAGATGCGGTCGTTATCACGATTACGCCTCCTTATGTTTCGTTGTCGTCGGCTCGGAGGCATTTAAAAGAAAAAACAACAAATAAACAAATTATAGCCACACAGAACAACGATAAATGGGCAAATTTAAGTAACAATCATGCTAACACGATCCGTCTTAGGGGCTATGTTTACACAAAAATTAAAATAGTAAATAAATGTACTCAATGCGTTTCTTTGAATTGACAAATAAATAACAGCAATTAAATTATACAGCTGATCAAAATGTAAAGAATTATGTTCTTCATAAGGATAACATGGGAACTTTCAAAGACACTGGGGCAGAGCCCAAGGGACTTTTTCAAAAATGTAAGGCCAGTTTGCAAATCTACGCGACACGCTCTTTCCAATGAAACGTCAACGGATAAAATCGGTTAAGAAATGGCGGAGGAGTTCAACCGACAAAGTTTCATGTAGCGTATTAATTATATAGATTAATCCTATATTATACTTTGGTCTAAGAACCTTCAGTGAAATACCAGCTTCCATTTAAGCTATAAGTTATTCAAATCAGATTAGTTTCAAGCAAACACAAGGTGAACAACCAACATAAAAGTTATTTTTATAAGGTTTTTCTATGATTAAAAATCAATACAGTAGCTCCAGTATTGTTTATGTTTTTTTTTTTATGTTTTAGACTTTAAATAATCAGTAAATTATATGCTTTAATTTGAGCTATTGATCGTTTGAATCAGTTAAGTTCAAGATACTGTATTACTCAATCAAAAATCATAAATATGATTATTTCTCGGGTATGATTATTTCTCGGGTATTTCAACGCTGCTGAGCAGAATGGGTCCTTTAATTTTTATAATATTACACACAATCAGGATCACCTTAGTGCTGTTATCTTTGGGGTGCATTCAGTTAGAAATCAATAATTTAAACATAAAAATGTTATTATTAGTTTATTTACAATTCAGTACAAGATCATGCCACTCATCCTATAGGGTACTCATCTACATTCATACTTGGCTGAAAATACCTACATGGTCGCCATTACATATAAAAATATTAAAGCAAAGTACCGGTAATTAAAGTGTTAAGAGCTCCTGCCAAATTGTACGTAACTTTCTAAAAACTCCTTCCCTTGCCCCGTCAGGGCTTGAGGGATGTTTTGTCAGGGTAAGAGTCAGTGTTTTAACGAAACTCACACGGCAGGGATGCATATAGCGTCCTCCGTTAGCATTTTTCTACTAAATTCACTCATTTATACAGTCCGCTAAAAATCGTATTTGTTAAACGCATTTTTCAATTTAATTAAATTCATTGTGTATTCTGAACTTTTAACATAATTTCTGTTTTTTTACTGTGTTTTAAATATTAAATTAAGCATAACCTGTGAACTCAGTGTTTTTCTTTCATCATTCCACAATTACAGTAACTGTTAACTCATTAAATTAATTTCATTACAACTAGGTACCCAGCCATTGGCGCACCAACCATAAACATAAAGTATTTTATGAAATAAGCTTCCTTATAGGAAAGAAGCTACTATCACCGTAGGTAATACTGAAAGACTTAGAATATGGACTGATTGACTTTTTCATTTTGATATGCACAGGCCAAAAACACTATTCGTTGAAATTTTGTAATATATTTTTATACTCTATATCAATTAATTTAGTTATTTGAAATTTCTCTGTGAACACGATAACTCGAGAAACTTTGGTTCAATTTTGATTAAATTTGACGTGAGTATGTTGAGGTGGATGGATAAACTTTAATAAGCTTGCAAACCATCAAAATCAGGTAAAAAAAATATAAATTATAGAGTATTACAATTTTTTATCAGGAAATGGGTTCAACCACAGAAAGCACTTAATAATCACAAAACAAAGTTCAATTAGGTACAACAATAAGAACTTTATGTTAAGGATTCAAAATGTAACCAATAATCTATTTATGTATCACAAATTGACTTATAATATTTTTTTCAGGCATGTCACATCCTTTGTTAAAATATTTAGCCAAGAAAAATGGAAATACAAATGGCGAGTACGAAGAGTCTGCTGAGTATGAAGAGTCTGCTGAGTATGAAGAGTCTGCTGAGTATGAAGAGTCTGCTGAGTATGAAGAGTCTGCTGAGTATGAAGAGTATGCTGAGTATGAAGAGTCTGCTGAGTATGAAGAGTCTGCTGAGTATGAAGAGTCTGCTGAGTATGAAGAGTCTGCTGAGTATGAAGAGTCTGCTGAGTATGAAGAGTCTGCTGAGTATGAAGAGTATGCTGAGTATGAAGAGTCTGCTGAGTATGAAGAGTCTGCTGTGTATGAAGAGTCTGCTGAGTATGAAGAGTATGCTGAGTATGAAGAGTCTGCTGAGTATGAAGAGTCTGCTGAGTATGAAGAGTCTGCCGAGTATGAAGAGTCTGCCGAGTATGAAGAGTATGCCGAGTATGAAGAGTCTGCTGAGTATGAAGAGTCTGCTGAGTATGAAGAGTCTGCTGACGTCCTCAGTGATTTATCACCAATATTGCTGATCACTCTTTCTTTGCCATGTGTAAGTTAAGTAGGAACTCCTTCAAAATAGCCTAAATATGGTATAATTTGGATAATTGATCGTTCCAGCTAACCCATTGAGGCAGGAATATTTTTTATTCCGAGAAGTATATCTTGCTTATATGTTTTTTAACACTGTATGATAATTTTCAACCAAAATAAGAGCCAACAAAGAAAAATCGGTGTCCTCCTCCTCTATAATGTAAACAGAAGGAAAACTGGTGTTATTTATGTTTAACCCATACTAAACTCATTGCCCTCATCTTACACCCAAGCCAAACACGTTTATTTAAGGTTGGCTCTCCGCTACAGCTAAGCCACACATTAGTGTAACACCTTAGCCAACTGAGCTACCTTTCCACTGTTGGCCTAAAGGCTCGATTGCCACTAGCACACTAGCGCTTGTAGGTTAGATTCAACGTACTAACTTGAGGGCCAGTTTGTTAGCAGTACAACTATCTTGCATAAAATGCTGTGATGAGCTACACTTATAAGTTGTTGTCAATTGGTTAAATAATAATACTTGCAGTACACACAACTTCCTAGTACACATTATTCTTTGAGTCTTTAAAAATCGCTAACTTTTTATGTTTGCAAACAATGATCACAAATATTATAAAAATTAACTCACAAATTATATAATAATATCTTTAATAATTGTAATGAGTAAGCAAGATAAAGCAATCGTCTCAGTCATAACTCTTTATTCGTACTACGAATGGTTGGAGGGATAGCTGAGGCGGAGTATGCAGGTATGGGGAGCTGATAAACTTTTTGTGGTATTGTGTTGTCCTAGAACCAAGAACAATCATACATGGCAATTAACTGCAGGTTCCTACAGTCTAATGTGTAGCTTAAAGAAAGGGTTGGCATAAGGGCCGTCTCGAGGTACCCTCTGTGATATAGTCATATCATATCATGAATTAGTAGCACATAATTTTAAAGGACTTAGATCATCTAAAAAGGAAGGGTCCGATACACAGAAGGTTGAACAACCTATCATTCGATAGTCCAGACTTATGATACTAAAAGTAGTTTCCCAAAACATCAAACCTCCTCCATCGGTATTCGGTAGCTCTGTCATTGAGGATCAATTAATTATGCGTGCTTTTGCATAGTATTTTTTCAATCAATTGAACGTCTACTCAACTTTTAGTATATTACAATTTATTTTACTACATTTTATATATTTATGTTAAATATGTAAATAAAATTGACGTTTATCTAACATTCTTTTTCAGGTTGATATTACAAGAGTTACAATTGTTCATAACAATTACCTCGAGGGAATGTACGAGCTTAAAAAAATGGAGTACAAATCCAGATATGGTTCCGTTCAAGAGGTAACCCTTGTCCACTCAACCAGCGCTTATAATGTACCATCTATCATTAAAGACAACTTGGACTGGCGACGTGTTACAAGAAACAAATATGGCAAAGGAGTTAGCTTCTCTGACGATGCTGACTACGCTAACTTCCATTCCAACCGCGGCAATGGTACGTATAATAAGCTTAAGATTCTCGTGGATGTCTTATAATATTTTAAAAATTCATTCTTAGCCTAATTGCACTTCAAATGATTTAAAAATAAACTCCCCACTTACAGAATGTCCCTAATGTAGCTTTGTAAGATCACCCGTTCAATTGGACACTGATAACTCACTGGACTGGCTATAATTCAATGTTATTTGAACCCAGTGACAAGACCTGTATTATACAAATAATTTATTTACCTATGGTGCCTGAAGGTCTTGTAGGTTTTTCAGCTTCTTGATGCGCATTTCGTCGCTCAGTGTGGCATCTTCATGGAGTATCTTCTTACACTAGGTTTCTTCAGTAGTGTAAGAAATCTAGTGTTAGAAGATACTCCATGAAGATGCTGCACTGAGCGGCGAAATGTGCATCGAGTAGCTCAACAACCTACAAGACCTTCAGGCACCGTAGGTAAATAAATTATTTGTATTACTAGACTATTTGTCTTTTTGCTATGATAAAGCTGTTGAGGTTAGGTATTAAGTTATCCGCCCAAATATATAATATTACTTGCTGTCTCATCTAAGCTTCTCTGTTTCATGGGTTTGGTTGTATGAGAAATAGAATTCCAACATTTAAAACATTAAAAAACTACAATACCAGTATGCATAAACCGAAAATTAAATACAATTTCTTTCATTCTATTAGGCCTAATATGATCTCAAATTTGTCCATGGTCCAAATATGTATGGATAGTTTTCAAACCACTTTTTATTCAAACTTCTATATCTGATTTTTCTTTTTATTCCTTTGTTGTTGACAGTGCCGGATTTAGAGTACTTGCAGCCCTATGCTAAATTACTTGAGCGGCCCTCCCCCTGTGGTGGAAACTCCTTGCGATCGCGGAAGTAATCGTGAATATCTCCTATGCATCAAAGGGACATCATCATCAACTCCTGTGATCATGGATGAAATCGTGGACATCCCTCCTAAACCAAGTCAAAGCCATCATAGGTATCTGTGACCGTGGCAAAATCATGAACATCCCCCGCGGGCCGCAATTACAGGGACATAATTTTCATCATTGACACCCACGGCCGTGGCGAAATCGTGATCATCTCCCGTGTTTCGCAATCACGCGGACATCATCATCATCAACACTCGCGACCGCGGCGTAATCGTGAACATCTTCCACGGGCCGCAATCACGGGGACATAATTTTCATCATTGACACCCACGGCCGTGGCAAAATCGTGGACATCTCCCGCGGGTCGCAATCACGGGGACATCATCATCATCAACACTCGCGACCGCAGCGAAATCGTGAACATCTCCCACGGGCCGCAATCACGGGAACATCAACATCGACACTCGTGGCAGCGGCTAAATCGTGAACGTCTCCTGTGGTTCGCAATCACGGGGACATCATCACTGTCATTCCGCCGCGATCCTTGCATTTCGCGCCCGCGTGAAATCGTAAACATCTCCCTCGGTCCGCATTCACGGAGACATTATTATCGTCACCTGCGATCATGGCAAACTGATGGTTTAAAAAAATATTTGATCTAAAAAAGGTTTTTTTCAATCCTCTGCGGCCCCCTTTTGCTTGGTGCCTGATCGGCCTAGTGGTAAATCCGGCACCGGTTGTTGAAATATAATTTTTACTATAACAATAAATTAAACCTTGCTGCAAAAATTTTTTTTCGAGACAGCTAGTAGACTACTAGTGTTTTATTTCTTTCTAAAAAATCCTAAATAAACAATTTTTTTTTTCTGTGTGATATAATGTTTATAGTTAAGATAAGAAAATGTTACAAAAAAAAATATGTTTTACAGGTGAAGAAAGAGCGTTTATCGTAGCAAAAGTGCTGGTATCAAAAAAAGTCTTTGGAAATGCCTCAATGGTAATTCCTCCTCATAATGCTGACACCTCAATCTCAAGTACTGGGAAGGTATATGTTAAGTACTCAGACAATGAGTTTTTGATCAAATACATTGTCTACTACAATGCTCCTGATAGAACCAAAAGTAAGCACTACCGAAGACCACGACACCATTTCTTGCTTTGGTAAAAGGGTTGTTTCCGTTTCACAAAAAGTTGTAACTTATGTTTTAAAAGTGTATTGTGCAGTAAGCCTGATAAGATGATTGTCTGGACTGGAGGTATATAACTGTGAAGAGCAGTTTGATTTGCCAATGTTAAGCTATCTTTAGGCTGTACTTTAACAGCCTTAATGATTTAAGGTAAATGTGATTCTAATTTAACATTACGATTGTACTGCTGTTCCCTGATTGAGACAGTGTTCAGTATTTTGTAAGAAAACTTTTGAAACCAATCATGTATTCTTAAGTTCATGATTATACAAAGGTGTAATAGTAATAATAGTTTATAGATAATAAGTTTATGAAAACCTAAACTAAAGTTTCACAATTGAGGAAAATATGTTTTAGCGAATCTAGGTAAATATTGTTTGTACTTTAACAAACTATTATAGAGCTTAAGTTAAACATGGTTTTTACAAAGGCAACGCCAGACGTATTATTTTTGATAACAAGTTAGTAATTTAGAGTGTAAGTTGTTTGTATTCTTTTGACCAAGTTTAATTTTACTTTATTTATAAGGAGTACTTCTTAAAAATCCTTTAAGCTAATTTCTTAACTTGATTTTATTTCGTAGACTTTTGACTGATTTTAAATTAACTTAGATTTGTTCTAATGTTTAAAATTATAAGTAAACCAGTCAATGTTTCTGTTTTAAATAAATAGTTATTCAAGCTTGTTCAAGGTATAAAACAAAAACCATTCTTAGACTGGTTTATATTAAATAAGCTATTTTATAAGACAATTAATTACTATTATTTATCGGTTACCAAATTTAAAATTTCAATTTCGGATGATATTCCATTAAACAATTAATTTTCTTTGATATTAATGTGGTCCATCAAATCTCTTTATGTATAACAATACTCTTTATAATGTTTCTCCTAATATATGTTTTAAGATAGTTAAAGGAATTCAATAGCATCATTCCCTCTTCTGAATGATGATGATATCACATTATAAGTATGCAATACTAACAGAAATTTACTTAAATTCCTGTAAGATTAAAATAGTTTAAAAATTGTGTTTTAAAATTTGCATTGAATAAACTGTTAACTTTTACACTTACTCACCTATGTTTTAATTTGTTTTTGTTTCTATGAAACTGTGTAACATGTATTAACAATAGTACTGTATTGTTAAAGGGTATACTAATTGATAAAAAAATGCAATATTAATGCATTGAAGTATTAGCCTTATGTTGTCTTACTAGCAAAGTTGTTAGTATAAGCATTGACTTTTGGATAAGTTATTGTTAGTTAAATTTGTACTTTTAGTTTGAATAAATTTGAGTGTATTTGGCAGCCAATTATTTTTTAATGCTTTCATTCATCCTTCAGGGAAAGAATTTATACTTTTTTTTTTCATTGAAACATGTGGATAATGTAAAATGTTTTTCTAAAGACATTTTAAATATTATTTAATCATCAATAATACAAATGTAATAATGATTAGAAGTCACGGACACTTAAAACTGCCAATATTTATAAATTGATGTAGTGGTACTCACAACATTTCAGAATAAAATATTTTTGGACAGTTCCAGATTTAAGTTGATTTAGAAAAGCAAAATATGACTCATTGTCTCCATACAAAAAGCAAAGCTATGATATGAAAGAGAAAATATTGCATTTGTGAACTCAAAAGCAAACCAAAATGGTGAAGATTAAACAAAGTGGATAATATTTCATTGTAATCATTTACTTGGCACCACCTAAGGCCGACCTTCCAACTTCCTGGTTCTTAGTTGTGATGTCTACTTCAATATCCAACAGTCAAAGCATCTCAAACTGAACACAATACACATATCTTAAATTGTTGCCAGCAGTGCCAGCTGATTCAGAAATACAATAATCTCCCCATTAAGTAAGTATGGTACAACATTTTTAGGTAAGAAACCCCCTTATGGCACTTATCTTACCCCAAGTCAATACATGTAGAGTAGAGCCATTACAAGAATTAAAGAAAATTGCATCTATTGGTAAAACAGAGAGGCCTCGAATGGAGATTCTCCCAATGACTCCATCTAGAATACCAATAATACCAAGATTACAGCCATTACAACCATTACAACCATCCACCCCACAGAAATTAGATTTTGTTCTTTTAGCATCGGACTATTTAGGAAATTACCTCAGTAAAAATAGTATGACAGACACTACATATGGTATTAGACGAGAAGCAAATAAATTTTTTATTGGAAATAAGGAAGTTGATATTGCCAATGATGATGTTACAGTTGCAAATAAAACCTACAAGGGGACAAAGGGTTTGTGGGAATTGTTAACTTTAAAAGAACCTGAGGATTATACTCTGGCTGATTTGCAAAATTATAAAGACATTTTGGAAGCTACAAATGGACATTTAAAGAGTTACAAAGATGGTGCACCAATTTCAAGTAATAGACATACTAAATATCTTAATATAATTAAACCTCTTTTTAAATCTGTTGGTGAAGGTTTGAGACAAGTGACTGGTAATAAAATAGACTATATTTATTGGGATGATCCTAATGAGCTTGTAGATAGGTTAAGACTTCTTTGGCTAAGTCGCCAAGCCGGTAACTCAGGAGTGGATAATGAAATAGATTCCATTATTGAGGAATTGAGAGAAAGTGGAATTGTTTATTAAATAAAAATATGTTTATAGATAAATTTTATCGTTTATATAATCCATATAATAAGCCTGCAGAACCCAGGGCTAGTAGTGAACCTACTTTAAATTTACAAGACGATGGAATGGTTTAAACCGTAAAATTGGTAATGTTAAAGATGGGGAGTTTGTAGATGATGTATCAACTTTGGGACAGACATTAACTAGAAAAGGTGATGTCTTTTTACAAGGTAAAACTAAATATGAGTTTTTAGAATCTAAGAATAAAAATTGGAATGCTAAAAAACAGAAAATTACTAATGTGGAAAAGGGTGAAAGTTTAGATGATGTGCCCACTTTACAACAGACTTTAATACGAACAGATGGTGGTACATTTGTACAAGACAATAATAATTATGAATTTTTAGAATCAAAAAATGGTGTTTGGAATGCTAAGAAACGGAAAATTACTAATGTAGAAAAGGGTTAAAGTTTAGATGATGTGCCCACTTTACAACAGACTTTAATACGAAAAGAAGATGGTAAATTTGTACAAGATGATACTAATTATGAATTTTTAGAATCAGAGAATGGTGTTTGGAATGCTAAGAAACAGAAAATTAGTGATTTGATGGAAGGTACAGATAGTAAAGATGCTGTGAATGTTTCACAAGTTCCAAAAATGGAAGCAGGCTATTGGAGTTTTTATAATAAAAGGTTAGTACGTGTTAAGCCTGCCATTGATGAAACTGACTGTGTTATAAAAGAACAGACTATAACTTTTGATAAAAAAGAAAAATGTTGGGATGCCAAAAACAATTTATAAGGAATCTACCAGAGGGGGAACATTTGGATGATATTTGTCTAATGTCACAAGCTATGCATTACGATGGATCAAAATTTGTATATGGAGAAAAAAAATTTAATTTGATGGAATATAATCCTGATTTATTAGTTGCTGACCCCACATCTTTAAGTGGATTTAAGTATATAGATAATAGACCATATATACCAGAAAACTATGTATTTAAAAGAATGGAAGATAATCTATTGATTGGGGCTAATGGTGATGTATTTAGAGTTACAGGAAAGGATGATGTTATAAAAAATGAATAAAATTGCATACAAACTTCATAAGCCTGCAAGAAAGAATTTCATTAGAAGGTCTTTTAAAGTATTGGGTATAAACGAAACCATACAAATAGATTTAATTGATATGCAAAACTATGCTAGAGAAAATTCTGGCAATAAATATATTTTAACTTTAATAGATACATTTTCTAAAAAAGCTTATGCTGCTCCACTAAAGAATAAGACAGGGTTAGTGGTTACAGAAGCCATTAAAACCATTCTACCAAAGGGGGTTAAAAACATTCAATCTGACAATGGAAAAGAATTTTTTAATCAATATTTTAGCAAACTAATGAAAAACTTAAATATTAATCACTATCACACTTTTTCTACAACTAAGGCTGCAATTGTGGAGAGGTTTCAGAGAACTTTAAAGAATTGGTTATATAGGGAATTTAGTGCTCAGGGAAGTTATAAATGGTTAGATTTACTTCCAAAGTTAATTCGAAAATATAATAATAAGGTACATAGATCTATAGGAATGAAGCCTAACCAAGTGAGTATTAAGAATAGTAAATATGTGCATGAGAGGTTGACTTCTAAAGTAGTACAAGTTAAAAAGCCAAGATATAAGGTAGGTGATAGCGTAAGGATTTCCAAGTATAAACATGTTTTTAGTAAAGGTTATACTCCAAATTGGACAGGGGAACTATTTACAATAGCAGAAGTAAAGAATACAAAGCCTGTGACTTATATCTTGAAAGATGAAAATGGTAATATAATCAGGGGAGGATTCTATACAGAAAAGTTGTTAAAGACCAAGTATAAAGACATGTATTTGGTAGAAAAGGTAATTAGGAGAAAGGGTGATTTATTGTATGTCAAATGGCTTGGATTCCCAAGTAGCCAGAATTCGTGGATTTCCACTAAGGATGTCCAAGGGAGCGCGCCATGAGCCGGGAGCGCGCCCGAGTTCGCGTACAAACCTCGCACTGTCAAGTTGATGATTTTGAGAATATACGTGTGAATGGATGTGGATTTGAAATAGTAATGAAGTTGTACAATGGTATTGAACATTTATATAGGCTTGTATTGGCCGAGAGCTGGATTTTTAAAAAGTGGTCAAAAAAAGCTCACCATGTTATTCTTATGGGGAAAAACGCCCCAAGTGACTTTAAACCGGCATATTGCCACTACTAATACTAAATGTAAACTTACGTATTTAATCAAATTTAGAGCATTCAACATAGATTTTTACTTATAAATAACTGTAACTGTGTAACTTGAAAATTATATTAAGATAAATATAGGATATGGTTTTTAAAATATTGCAACAAAACGTTTTATAGTTTTATTTTGTAGTGTTGTGCAGAGTGAAAACGGGAAAAACTCCTCATAGCTATTCGTTAAAGTATTTACTTTTATTTTAGCTATGGATTCCTTATTGGGAGTTATTTAGAATTAGGAATATGTCTTAACTAAAGACAAATTTCAAAATAACAATAATTTAATGTTCATTGAAGGTATGCCTACATGATTTGTTTTAAATTTGTCAGGTGTTATTTAATGATCAATAAAATTGAAGCCAAACATTTACTGAGTACAGTACTTTGATACCAGAACGAACTTGTTGACATATTAAAAACCCGAGATATAAAAATCTTTCAACAAAAACTGATTTAAAAAAATGTTAATTTAATATTGTCTTGGGGTTTGTACCTCGTCTCTAACTAGTCTGTTTTAATTCTTACATCACTGAATATTTTAAGGCTAGAACGAACAGCAAGCATTAATAGGACCTGGAGAAAATAATCTAAAGATATTTTCTAAGTACGATACGTTCATAAGTAATGTATAGGGGAGAGTTTTCGTTTTAAAAACGAAAAAACTTATTTAAAAACGGATTTC